CCACTAGACTTGGACAGGAATGTGGATTATCTATTACTACTAGGTAGAGTGTTAAACCAACTGTGCTTTATTCATATATCAAAATAAAAAAGAAAACTAAAAAAATTACTCCATAATGAGACGGTATTTTATCCAAATTTAATTGGACACCGAGTTTACAAAAATTTAAAAACTTTTGGTACGTAAATATGTACTTCCTTAGTTTAAGTTTATGTAACCTTTTCGCTTTTCGTGATAATTTGACTAATATTTGAAGCTAGATTGAATCGTATTAATTTAAGATTTTAAAGTTAAAATTTAAATATTTAAAAACTATATAAAAAATGGTATAAGTTGTTATTCTTCTCATATTAATATGGTGGAAAAATANCAAAATGTCATTTCACTAAGGATAATTGGAATGCTAAAAGTAAATAGTTTTAAAAGAGAAGTATTAGTATTTTTTTGAGTAAATATGTCACATAAATGGGAAGAGGTGCAAAAAATAGTACACCAAAAATTTACACCAGTATTTGATTTCCGACAGTTGTTTATATTCTTACTAGTCTTAGGGTACGCGCTTTGCGCGTGTATACTATATTCGTGAATATACGATTTTGAGAAAATCTCTCTCTATTTTTCTTATATATACCACATAATATATTTGAGTTGTAAAATACAAATTAGAAAAAGTAATCTATCATCACATAAGTCCTCAAACGTCTTACTATTATTTTTTTCTCGTTTGCCTCTGCCAATGTTGAGTTAATATTTTACAAGAAGTAATGTATAAAAAATATAGGGAGTTACCATTCTTTATAGTGAATCATGAAAAATTACAACTCATTTAGAATATGTTTTGTCTTCTAATGTTTTATTCTTGTCGATTCAAGTTTGCTCTATCTCTAATTTCTCTTTTCACCAATATTTTTCTTATAAAAATAAATTTATGGTCCATATTAGTTTTATCAACTTGAAAAATAATTTTCGTATATGAATAGTTTTAAAAGAAGTGAAATGAATTTATTTTTCTATTAATTCTAAAAACTCAAGTATTTATTTAAAAAATCGTTTATTTTTATTCATATTTTAGTATGAAATTGTCAAGAATTTTACATTTTTAACTATAGTTATAATTTATCCAAAAAATTATTTTTAAAGGGTAAAATATCTATCGAATATTTTACTTTGGATCATCATATTTGCAGAATTATTAGTGTTATTGACTCTTGTCAATCACGTCTCTTTATCTCTCGTTTAAAATCTAAATTTTTTTACTATAAGTTCCACATTATTAATGATAATAAAATTATCATGTACCTTAAGAGTTATATTAGTTAATTATCTTTTTCAACAAATCTTCTTATTCATTGTTTTCTTTCATGGGGTTGGGAAGGATATACTTTTAAAGACTTTGAGGTTTAACCTTTACATCACTAAAATTAGGGAGTATACTAACTTTTCATCACCAAACATTATAAAGAACATTCATAAGCATTATGAAATTAGAAGATGAAGAGAAAATCAAGTGGTTGGTATAAATGGGGCAACTTGGTAAGTATTATATTTTAGAAATATTTATAAAGTTCAAAATATTGGGCTAGGGAAATATATATATATTTTGAGTTGCTACATATTAGTAGTTTTTACTTAGTTAAAATATAGAAAACATTAATGATCAACCTATTTTTAAAATTTCAAACTCCTAAATATTAGGATTTCAAATTTCTAAGTATTAGAAAAATAACCTAAATAACAATTTAGTCCATTATGAAATTAACAAATAAAAGGTAAAAAGCGAACGATATTATATCCAAACGATAATTTCTTACTTATTCTTTGTTGACTTTGTTATTTTTGGTTTCCTTGTTCGTCGTTTATATCCAAACTCATTTTTCTCATTTGAACTGATGATATAATAATTTTGATCAAATTTTTCAACTTAAAGAGAAGATAATATATCTTGATATTCTCGATTATTCTTTGATCCAAAAAAAAATTATTAAAGTGTGTGCAACTTAGTTTGGTGATATTCAATATTCACGATTGTTATTAGATCTTGATAAATAAGGAATTGAATTAAAATTTTTTCTTTACTTCTTAGGATATGAATTTGACTAAAGATTATTTTACGCAATTCAGATAAGAAAATAAGTTATATAAGTTAAAATTTTGTTTGATGTTGAATTTCTAAATATTAGAACTCCCTCCGAATAATCCAAATAAATAAAGATTAATAGCAAAATGTTAGTTAATTTTAAAATTTTAATGTTATAATATAATTTGAATGATATAATATCTGACATAAAATATAACTTACATGTTATCCATCATTAATGATTAAAAGATTTACATTAAAAATAGCAAATTTATAAGTCAACTTAAACTCGTTGCGCACATGTAAAAATCTGGATTAACATTGAAAAATGCTAATGATTCCTACAAAAATTAAAACGAAGGCAGAAACTTGCAAAAGTCTTCTTTTATAATTCTAAAAGTGTTAAAACTTGTAAACATGAAAGAGTCAAATTTGAGGAAAATTGTTACACGATTTAACTAAGGAAAAATATTTATAAGTAAAATTTTACTCAATTTAGATCCTAAATATTAGGAGTTTTTAGATACCTTCAAGGAAAAATATTTAATAAATAAAATTTAGCTTATCTTAAAGTCCTACATATTAGGTAAATAATTAAACTACAATTACAATTTTGTCCAATATAAAATTTATTTTTAAAGGGTAAAAAAGGCGAACGACATTTCGTTAAGGGCCTTCGTGCTTTTAATGTAGCATAGATTTATAGGCTAAGTAAGATGTGCTGAATTTACTAAAAATTGATCAGTTGACTATCAAAAAATGGATTAATCACGGAAATATTATTGGACGCAGAAATATTTACTCTCAAATTAGTGTTTATTACATTTCTTATGAGAAGAGCAAACGAAATTATGAATGCAGGACAAAGCCATTTATGGAAAAGAGCATAATAATTAAGAGTCACATGGGAGTTGTAAATGATGTTAACTTAATTTACACACAAAACATAACTTCCAAAAACCTTAATTATGATCCCCAGGTGCTCATCATCTTCATGTCATGCGTATACACACCAATGTTTTTGACTCCTAGAATCCGCACTTTTTCAGACTTAAGATAATTCTTCTTTTCATCCTAGGATACCATTCTATAGTATTGATTGACATATATTACTGTCCTCTCTCGGTCAATGAGTTGGGAACATACTTAATGAGTATGGAATTTTTTTTACCTTTGCTTGAAATTATCAAAGCCATGTCCCAATTAGTCCCACCTTTTCATGGTATTTAATCCACAAGATTTTCTACAATCAACTCTGACTTCCCTTCATTTTTCTCTTGGTTCATCAGTTCAGAGGATTTCTAGCTGATGCATGTTGAGAAAAGGTTTTTGTAAGTATCGTTGTCACTATCTTGCTTAACCTCTTTTTTTCCTTTGGTATATGTATATATATATATATTCTTAAGGATAATGTTACGTTCTCGTTTTCAAATTTCAACTCTGAGGAGATATTTGGTAATTAAGCAAATATACTTTAGAAAAAGGAACTGAGACTGAGAACAAGTTTCACCGTTTAAGTATTTGCTTACATCTGCATGTCAACATGTTGGAAAAAGACCATCTCATCCTCCTCTTTTTTCTTTCTAGCTTCTCCCAGAAAGGAACAGAGGAATACCTTTTGTTTGATACGAAAGCTTCTACTGTTGTTGTTGTTGTTGGTTCTTTTGTTTAAATTCTATGCATGCAATATAAAAATGTTACACAATCAGCTCAGTTTAAAAGTTAGTTAATAATTACGGGTAATTAATTCTTTATGATAAATATTATTTAGTACAAGTTATTGTAAAAAAATCTTTAGAATCTCCACGATGGGGTTCAAAAAAAATTGTAGCTAGTGGGAATTGAACCTATAACCTTATAAAAGTTTTGAACCCTCTTGACCACTAAACTACACTTTTGAGTTGTGTTAAGAGGGTTCAAAACTTAATATATAGAGGTAAAAATCAGATTTTGCCTTATATACAGTGTAATTTTTCGGCGAAGGGGCTCGGGTGAACCCCTTCAGCCCCCCTAAATCCGCCCCTGCTTGTTGTTATAGATGGATTTAATTGTTCTTCAAGCTACATAAATGTCCTTTAGAGGTAATAGTACAGTGGCATGCATGCATAACTTGGACTTCGAGTCGTGATCTTTCGATCTGGTAAATATTTTCAGAGTATTACTAGATTATTTTCTTTGCTGTGAAGACTGAAGAAACAACAAGTCTTTAAGCAAAGCAATTGCAGTTCAAGCTGCCAAGAGTACCGATGAACCGGATAAGTCTCACCTTCAAAGTTACGTAATATATTCATCCGCTGATGGACCGCAAATTAAGCCGGAAAAATAAATCATTTTTCTTTTCCAAAAGAAAAAAAAAAAATTAACCAAAGACAGACTTAACCTATAAGCAATGCATGTTTATAAATGCTTTACCCATATATAATGGAGTGACATATATAGTTAAACTTTAATAAGGAAAATAGATCTACTTTTTCTTAAAAATTTTGAAATTGGGTTTTTTTAAAATAAAATAAAATTATATATAAGGGGGTAGGAGAAGGGAAACGGGTGAAAGGAATTACATAGAGGGGTAATTGAACTCTCACAGACAAGGTGAAATTTAGGTAGCCAACCTATTGAGCTATGATTCCCCAAATTGGTATTTAATCAGCTCTAGAAAGTACTTATGGGTTGTCTTTTTGACACCATATTGCCAAGTTAATTAAGCCTTTTCCGACTTTAGGCTTGGAACTCAATGGTCCAGTTTAATTTTTACCCCTTACTTAGCTTGTGGATACAAAAATTTTGCTAAAGTAAACCAAGAACTGATATTGGAAATTACTTTCCCATTTAGGACCTTTTGGAGTTCCTTTAACTGGATGAATACCAATATAAAATAAATTCAAAAAATAAAACACGGATATTATTATTCTAATATCACTACATAATGTAACATTTAAACACATTCGAAATATCCACTGGTTTACATAACCAAAGCAGTAGCTATCATACCATAACATCGATAGCCATGCCTGACAAAATGAAAATGCTTCAATTACATCTCAAGCAGCTAATAAAGATGGCTGCATATATAATTCACCTATATATTCTTTCATCACCAAGCGGTTAATTCATTTTCTCTTAACTTAATATTAGTGGAAGGGTCATATATATAGTCTTTCTTAGTAGTATTATTATGTACAAATAATACTTGTTATTTAGTCAACAAAGAACTGTACTAATTCCTATGATCAATATGTACTTGTCTTAAGTAGGAGGAGTTTAATTCACTTCCACAGATCAATTTGAGAAGAGGAGGATGCCGTTGAAGTATTTTCCGTAGCTGCTTCTAATTGCTTGTTCAAATTTCTGACCATATTCAAATTTGAGTCATCGGCAGCACCCTGCAAGGTATTTGAGTAATCATTTTCCTTGGAAACCTCCTCTTGGCTAAGTTGAGAAGCTACAAATTTGTCAAGCACTCGCCAATCCATCACTTGATCATCTCCAGCTAGTTCATTAGTATTGGTACTAATATTGTTGTTGTTTCCATACTGATGCACATGATTATTAACGTTAATGGCAAACACTGGCATTGAACTGCATGGAGGTGGTGGAAGAAACTTTGGGCTTTCTAAAAGAGGAAGTTGAAGAAATTGCTGCTGATGATGATGATGAGGAGGAGGTGGGATTTGGTAATGCAAAGTATCAAGCTCCTTCTTGCAAGGGTAATTAGGATAGTGGTAAGTGAGGCCAGACTGAGAGTGTTGTTGCTTTGGGGAGTCCATGAATGAGACTTGATCATGATCGTACCATATTGGTGACTCGTGTTCACTTTCTTTCCTCATTGTTGCTATTCTCTTCTTGAACACTCGGCATACCACCCATCCTTCTTCCTGTGGTTGTTTTAAGAACAATCAATGAGTGGTTCAATTCAAGAAAGAGTTTAATTTTTATACATTTAGAGGGTGTTTGGATTGCCTTTTAAGCTAGTCAAATCAGCTTTTAAGCTCTTTTCAATTTTTTCTAGTGTTTGACAAAGTTAAAAAGTGCTTACAATAAGTTTAAAATTGATTAAAATAAGCCAAAAGCAATAAGCTGGGCAACCACAACTTATTGTTGCTTTTTGACGTAAAAGTTATTTATGCTGGAAAACTACTTTTTTAAGCCAATCCAAACGAGTTTTTACACTATCAGGTCGTCTAACTAGTATTCCATTCTATTCAATTTGTTTGAACCTTTTTCATGTACGAGGGTCAAATTAACTATTTTTCAGACATGAATTCTTTAAGTTCTTTGAAATAAAGTTACTATATAGGTCAAAGAAGATTTTCTTTGATCATATCTTTTGCAAACACTTCTTAAATATATTGTATTGCTAACTATATTGTGACTAATACTTTTACATAGTTCCTAAATATGTTAAATTCCATTTTAAAAAAATTAAAAAATTTAAACCGAAAATTAGTCAGTTTGACCCGTATATTTAGAACTACATCACATAAAATGGAATGGAAAGAGTATTGCACAAGTCCAAACAATCATTTGACTGAGTAGCTTATTTAGTGAAGTTATAGGTTTGATTTTCTTAGGAGGACTTTGCATGTGGTCAACCAAAAAGACATGTAAAGCATAAGGTTTGAAACTATAAAAAGTAGAATAACTCGCCTGAGGGGCACCATTTGGATCAGTCTCAAGTCGGTATTCATGCATAATCCAGTCAGATTTTTGACCATTTGGAGCCCTCCCTTTGTAAAACACCAAAGTTTTTCTCATGCCAATTAAGTCATGCTTGGAATAAATAGCTTTGTCTCTTCCTGTTGCTTTCCAGAATCCTGCTGCTGTTGCTCTATTTGTTCTTGTACCAGTTGGATATTTTTTATCTTTGTGGCTGAAGAAGTACCATTCATTCTGTTCCTCCGTCCCTATTCTGCATAGTTCTATATTCAAAGAATTTCTCCCCGTTACATCATTTATTTTTTGAGTATATGAGTTATTGAGTTTTTTTAATTATATCTTAATAGTAGTACCTTGAAGATCCCATGGTTCAATCTTGTAGAGGTCCACATCATTGATAACACCTAGGTCAATCCTTCTGGAAGTAATTTTTTTCCTGAGGTAATAATCTACAAGTTCTTCATCAGTTGGATGGAATCGAAAGCCAGGAGGAACATGTGAAAACGAATTCATGATCTTGCAATCAAACCTGTAATATTCACAAGAATAAAAGAATATCAGCTTTCAGTACTTACATTGAAAGCTTGGTAAGGAGATCAAAATGCAGACTGAAAGTTTCTATCTAGTTTCTGATTATGAGATATTTAGTGGAGCACAAACAAATATGAGTCGCTTAGTTTCTTGATCAACCAAATGCTTGGAGAAGTATGAGATTGCTGCAAAATAAATTTGGAGGTCGACTCCTTGTTTCATTCAACTTGGGCATGCAATTAATTAAATCTCTTAATAACACCGCTCCTATTCTTTTCGAAATGTAGAGAAAAAGGTGTATATGTTATATAAGTGATCCTAATTTGATAAAATTGTCCATAAAATATCAAAAAAATTATCAGGATTTGCTACTATATCTGGTCGAACAATTACCATATGGTGTGTGTGTGTG